TCTCTCTCTCTCTCTCTCTCTCTCTCTCTCTCTCAGGATGTAATGAAATTTGTTTCTCGTAGCACGAAATCACACACATTCTCTATAACATCCACCATGGACATTGCAGACCTTCTTATCTGGATGTAGTTGAATAAGTGTACTATCAAATCGATATTCTTCTGTCGCGCACCATAACTGTGCAACTGCAGAGTTGACAGATAACAAGAAAGGTAGATAATATTTTCTGAAGTTGGTAAAAAACTTACTTTTTGTAATCAGGTAAGTGAATTTTTGTTTTTTTCTATATTTTTGTTTCTTAGGAACGTTGACGGACGATTTGAGAGCATATTGATTTTTAAATTATGCAGTGTGAATAATTATTTTGTTGCAGACATTACTTATTGTAGTCGGTTTGTGCCTATATTTATATATTACAATGACTTGTGTAGCACACGGAACATGTTCGGAGCTTTTTCGAACATCCGAACATGTTCGGGCGTTCGGTCGAACGCCACCCGAACGTGTTCGACCGAACATATAAAAAAAAAAAAAAAAAACCTTTTTTTTGTTTTTGATTTTTAACTTGAATTTTGTTACGAATTTGAGCATACCTCCAAGGCAAAAGTTGTTTGTATTATTATTGTACATCACATATATGTTTTTTAGATTTTTTGGAGTACCTTTTTTTTTTTTTTTTTTTTTTTATGTTTGCGTTTGGAGAGTTTCGACGCTCATTCGCGTTCGGTCCCGAACGTTCGGGTTCGGTCACCGAACCTGAATACGATGTTGCACAGACAATGACTAACTTGTAAAAGAGTATGCACCTATCGACCACATACGCAAACACTGGTTGATACGTGATAGTAGAATGATTATAAAATAAAAGCGTAACATCATTGATGATAAGTGTTTAAAGCTGACGACGGAGCATACTACTTTTCAAATTGTGAAGTGTGAATAACTGTTTTGTTTTATGCGACACTTATTGTGATCGGTCGGTCGATGCCTACATTTAGATGTTGCAACGGATATGTTAAGCCATAAAATAGTATGCACCTACCGACCTTATTCACAAACATTGTTAGATGCCTGATAGAAGACAAAAGATTATTTAAGAGCGTAATACTTTTTTCTAAAAAGTGCTTATTATCGGCAACGTTTATATATATATAAGCCAATGAAGTTCGGGTGAAACAGTTTATAACAACCCCTTGTTTGTTGTCCTTTTCTCTCTCCCTGCCAACGAGTTTGCGTGGCAGTTGAGTGACCAAAATCCTCATGTGCAATATTGGTGATCCTACGGTTAGTATTTTACATGTATTACCTTAAAAAGTAAGGAGACCTTTGTTTTGTTCCTCCTCTCCTTAACACTGGGCATGCCCATGTAGAGAAGGCTCCGTGCCCAAATTTTTTCAATCGGTTGGGGGTGTGGCCAACCCCAAAAGAGGGTGGGGTCGACCATAGGCCCACTTCAAGTTGATAGAAGATTTTTAGTGTTTTGCTTGCTATTGTGCAATTATCTTATTGGGTGGAGCCCTCCTTCATACACGGAGTATATGGAGGGCGTCATGATCACAACTGACATAAGTCGACTTTATTTCAGAAAATGTGGCAGTTACTCTGTTCGCTCTGATCTGATGGTTGGGAAGCACTCAGCCGTGATTTCCGGTGGGAGGTCTCTGTTTTTTTTGTTTTTTTTTTTGCCTTTCTCCTATTTTCTCAGCCCAGAAATTTGTTATTAACCTGTCATCCCACTGCCACTCAATGTCACACTAGATAGGCCACCCTCCTATCCAACTGCTAATGGGACCATGCTCCTGGTAACCTATAAAATAAAATTTTTAAAAAAATATTTTTTTTTCTTTTTTCTATCGTGTAGTATACGACCAGGGCATGCCCCTATGTTTCTTTTCGGGGGGGGAGGGGGGCTACAAACAGCCCCATAAATCTTGTCTCGAGCCACGTACTTATGAGTGCAATGCAACTTTAGTACTCGCGTTGTACTCAATGAACGTGCGTACATAAAAAAAATATAATTTGTACACGAGGTAAGCTTAGAGCCTGGGCCTACGTCTGAGCCTTCCGCACATGAATCTGATCTATGGCCGGACCTTCCCCGAGAAGTAAAAACAAAAGAAAGGCCTAAATCTGATCCTGGAGATTTCCAAGAAGTAAAAAAAAAAAAAAAAGGCCAAGTCCTGGGGATGCAAATTTCCGAAGGGCTGGAAACTGGGCCTTGTGCCTGAATCTTGGGCTTGGGCCTTGGTGTCAAGGTTTTCAAAAAGTCCAATAAAAGAAAGGGGCATAAGCCTGAATCCAGCACCTCGGGATAGGTATAGGTATGGGTCTGTGTCCTGGAACTGAATCTGGCCTTTGATCAGGGTTTTCGACTACATGGAGAGGTCGAAGACAGTGAGCCGAACAACAGTTTCAAGTGCCAACTTTGATGATTTTCCCTGCGCAGACTAATGCAGATGACGTATTGAAAATTTGAAAGCTTGTACGTTAGGCCGTAATCTCCTCAGGAAAAATATCTAAAAAAGCTAAAACTTAATCTGGACCATTAAAGCATTACCGCGATGTTTCGGCACATATAACATTTGTACCACTCTGCAATATGTTGGCCAAGGGAAAAAGTATTGCACAATCACTGATTTTTCACATGAAAAATCTAAGAATTGCAAGGCCCACCAAATTCGATTTGATCTTTTGACAAAAATATTAAAAAAAATTAACAACAATATTTCGACGGTGAAATAATCACCACACGACTTCAATGCTTTTTTTTTTTTTTTAACAACTTTTACAATGAAAATCGAAAACCATGGCCGGCGTCCCTTTACAATGTTGTAAGCTTGTAGTGCTCCCCCAACAGATGACATCACTAGCCGAACCCAGAGCATTCTGCCACTATGCAATATGTTGTCCAATGGAAAAAGTACTGCACTCAATGATTTTTGAACTCAGAAGAATAAAGGACGAAGAATAAAGGAGAAAAACCATACCTGTGGCACACCTGCGCTGTGTGTCGTGCGGCGCACCATGCATCTGGGTGCTCAGTGCGCACTACGTGGTGCGTTGCGCATGTCTGCTGTGCTGCGGGCGTGTGCGCAGTGCATATTTCCATGTTTTTGTGGTCAATTCATTCGATTTTGCTCATCCTATCGTTGAAGTACTAGGAGCCCAGCCACGATGTTGGAAAATTACCTGCTCTCTCTCTCTCTCTCTCCTTCTCTTACAAAAAAAAAAAAAAAAAAAAAAAAAAACCAATTTTGGCAGTATATTTTAATGTTCGCGCACGCACACACACGCACACACGCACTCACTCACACACACACACACACGCACACACACACACACAGACGCACGCACCCACATTCACACACACACGCACAAACACACACACACACACACACATACACACATACACACATACACAAACAAAAAAACTAACTTCGGCTCCCTACTTTTCTTTTTGGAAGACCCGCGCGACCTCAATTTTTTTTTATTTTTTTTTTTGGTTCTTGGCGCGATATCCCATTTAGGCCTACAACGGGCACAGCCGCGGGGTAAAGCTCGGACGGTGGCCGAGTTCATGGCTGCATCCACGGCTGGGGTCGGCTGCAATACGGCCACGTTATTCATGGATTTTTCCCGTCGAAAAGAATAGGAAAATTAAAAAATAAAAAAAAATGTCGCAGGTTTTTCCAAACCCTACAACCCCATATTTGTTTTTAAGGAAACAATGAATTTTAAAAAATTATAAAAAATAAGAATCAGAAAAGGCGAAGAGGAAAAATTAAAGGGAAAAAAAAAAAAAAAAGACTTTTTGGGGAAGGATTTTATTTATTGACAGTTCTCTCTTCTTCAAGTTTAGGTGTTTTTCATTTTATTTTATTTTTTTGGTAATAAGGCAAAAATCAGTCAATGAAAAAAAAAAAAAAAAACAATAGTCTACTGTTATTTTGCAAGGACAATTGTATTTGTATGTGAACGTTTGTGTGTGTGTATGTTTGTGTATGTGTGTGTATGTGTGTGTGTGTGTGTGTGAATGTGTGTGTGTGTTGGCGTAGTTGCGAGTCTGTGTGTGACTGTGTGTGCGTATGTGAATGTGTGTGTTTGTGTATGTGTGCCTTTATGTATGTATGCGTGTGTGTACGATCGTGCGTGTGTGTGCGTGTGTGTGTGTGTGTGTGTGTGTGTGTGTGTGTGTGTGTGTGTGCGTGTGTGTGAGAGAGAGATTTTCATTGATAGGATGAGCAATGCATCGGCCAACAATATGTCTCGAACCCAGCATCTGCGCTCACAGTACTTCCATTGATAGGATGAGATAAATCAAACAAATTTTCCGCTAGAACATCGAAATATACTACACGTGTGTGTGTGTGTGTGTGTGTGTGTGTGGTGCGTGCGTGGCTGAGGGGTGGGGCGGGATGGGGAGGCGACCACTCCCCCACCAATCAACCAATCAACGAAAAAGAAAAAAAGACAAAAAAAATAGCTCGTAATTTTTTATTTTTTATTTTTTTTCTTTTTCATCTCTCACCATGACCTCTACCTCCACCCCCTGGAAACTTTTTTTTTGGTATTTTGTTTTTCTTTAGGGGGTCGGGTGGGGTTTGCGCAACCCCAATCCACTTTCGAAAACCCCGCCCCCCCCTTGAACTGACCGCCACGCAGCCGCGCGGCCATGGCCGCCCACGGTCGCCTCCATGGGAGATTCTTAGTACAAGACCCCTCCCCAACTTTTGTTTTTTTCCTCGACCCCTTATTTTCAAGGTGCGCAACACCCAGTGCGCGGTGCTGCGCGTGTGTGCAGTGCAGCGCATGTAGATTTCGTTGTGATCTTTTGACGATAAATATTACTAAAAAAATATAAAAAACTTGATGGCTATAAAATCATATTAAAATGCATTGTGGTGACGATTCGACGCATTTTTCATTTCTACAATTCAGTCGGTTCTCCACACTGTGCAAAGTTAGGGTTTGGACACAGACATCTTGCCGTGCAGCTTCTTGACACGGGATTCGCTTGATTAAAAAAAACAGTCCCCAAAATCAAACAGGGACCCAATCTACCTCAACAGTTATCTTGTCAGATAATTGAGTATCTCAAATTTGTGTGTGGGCTCGAACCCCAAATACAACCATTAACAGTGAACTTCAAAATATTAGTGTGTCGATAGGTAGCAGGGCAAAAATTGTCCTTTTTTGGCTTGGGGGCGACGAGCCACACACAGCGATTCATCTTTCCATTCTCTTGGGGCAACTTCACTCTTGTTGGGGCACAAAATGACGCATGCTGCAAGGCGGCCCCCTCTCCCCCCCAAAAAAGCGGCACAAAACAACGCGCGCAACACACTGCAGGGGGTGAACCCGAAAAAAAAACAAACCAGCATGGATAGGGAGGCTGGGCAAGAGTTGACATTTTTCGGTTCTATTTGGGGCACGAAGGAATTTGTGTTTTCATTCTTTTGAGGCGCCTTTGTTCTTTTTGGGACACAAAACAAGGCACACTGCGGGGTGAACACCCCCCCAAAAAATGGCAGTACAAAATAATACAAACACACACTGCAGGGTGAGCCCAGAAGAAAAAAAAAAAAAAAACCAACAGCACAAAACGATGCACGCTGCCGGCCTGAACAAAAGCACAAAGTCCTTGAAACGACTACAGGTCCACAGCAAAATGACACATTTTGCTATAGGACGGTGGGCCCTTCGAGATAATCGCACGCATCCACGTCCGTCATAGCACTTTGCGGCTCATCTCCCTTCGTGCCTCTCTCGCATTCTTGAGTGCACTGCGAACAAACGGGTGGACAACTGGTTCTGCACACGCGCCGGCCGTGGATCCGCCACATCCGATGGCCTGCGCGCGTTTTTGCACCTCATTTCGGCACGCAGCGGCCAACCGTCCTCTCCCACATGGCCAATGCTGCTTAAGGGGTAGGATATTTTATCCTATAGTCGCGAATGGGTTCGCAGAGAACTTCCCTTCCTTGACGAGGAATGCCAGACCTGTCCATGCCGATGCAGCTGTATGGGGCCAGTTGAAATAGCTCCATCCCAGGTCATCACCAGTGAAACACTCTGCGGCTGGGGTGGCCACAATGCCGAATCCGTCGGAGTTTGGAGCGCTTGCAATCTGTCTCTCCAAGCTGTCATACAGTGTCTGCGCCTCTTCGGACTGGTCGTTCAGAAACAGCGCCATTGCCGCACTGGCAGTATTCTCATTCTGCACTTCTCTTCCCGTTCTGCTGAACAGAACGCCGGCAAACCCTGCGCTCTGAGTCCTCATGTGCTTGAGCATGAATTGCAAACAACCAGAGTTTGAAGCCGGGTCAACGGAAGCCAGCGATGTCCAGGTCTGGCAGTCGGTAGGGACCACAAACACGTTGAGGTTCTGGGAGTAACCACGTGTGCCTGCACAGTAGCGCAACCCCCATTCATCACCTAGCCTGCATGCGTGGACAAACTTTGCTGCAGACTGTGCACCCTTCTTCCACTTGCTATCCCCCGTGAGATTGAACAGGTTTGTGAAGAACACAAACACATCGGTATTGTGCTCGACAGAGCGCCAACCACGCTTTGCCCCTCCATCTTCGTAGCCTCCTGAAAACCCCCCGAGCTTGTCATCTACGTGCGTATTAGACCTTATCCAGTTACCGGCGGTGATGGCATAGTCAAGGTACTTGGATCCATAATTACAATCCTGGGAAGTAAGTGCATTGTGGAGGCGAGTCATTGCGATCCCTGCCCAGGACAAGTTGCCAACATCAGCAGCCCCGGCTCCAGGAAAGGTGCTCGTCGTGAAACTCCAGTCGTTCGCAAGGAGGTGGGCATTTGCGTGCGTGGCGGCGATGACCCTGCCATCGCCAACAGGATCATGGAGCATGGCGTTGCAGATGGCATCTACAAGGTCAGTGGCAGCTTTGAGATTACCTCTCTCGATGAAGAAGATGGAGGCAACTGAAGTGTCATATATGTCGGCCCGGTAAAAGATATGCTCCCAGCGATTGCCTTCGATCTTACCAGGGACACGGTATGTTTGCGTAAATCGGGAGCCCGATGAAGAAAACTGGTTCATTTGGAACTCTAGAAACCTCTCAATCCGATCGCAGACAGTGTCATTAGCTACAGTCCAATTACTCCTCGCAGCCCGCGGGAAGCCTGTCGCTGAGGCGGCCATGATTCAGATGCCAGGCAACGGCAGTCTGAGAGTAGTAACCTCCAAAGGAAGGAAGGAGAGGGAGGGAGGAGGGAGGCAGGGAGAGAGGGGGTGTAGCTGCAGTATGACTGATATGCCTGGCAATGGAAGAGTTACAGTAACTTTCGAAGGAGGGTGCAAGGGAGGGAACGGAGGGAGGGGGGATGGGGAGGGATGGGGAGGGATGGGGAGGGATGGGAAGGGGGGGAAGGAGGCAGCAGGTATAGCTGCGGAATGATTGAGATGTCTGACAATGGCACAGTTACTTCCAAAGCTGGAAGAGAGCGAGGGGGAGGGAGGCAGCAGGTGTAGCTGCACTGGCAGTTGCAGGAGCGGACATAGGAGGGGTGATGTTCCTCAAGATCTTCAGTTTACACTCTGGTATGGAGATGCTCACAAAATGCCTATAGTCTTGAGTCAACACAAGGACAACAGATTCACTGCAGTACAGCGAGTCTGGAAGAGAAAATACACAGCGAGTGCCACGTCAGTCAGTCAACAAGTACAGAAAGACTGTCACTTTCTGCCCCTGCCACGTCAGAACAACAAGATCATCACTTTCAAGCAGTGCCACGTCAGCAGCAGAATAGAATCACATTCAGGCACTACCATGTCAGCACAGGGAGAAATTCAGTTTCTTCCACTTTCACCTGCAGTGAGAGTTATAGCAAGACAATCACATTAACCAGGTGCCATGTTCGTCAGCCTTCTTTTTTTGTTTTTGTTTTGATTTTTAACCTGCCTTGCCACGTCATCATTTTAAATAATACAGTGATACAATCACACTCAGCCCGTGCCTTCAGTCAGCCTACCTTTCTTTCTTTCTCTCTTTTTCTTCACACCACACACACCTGCTCCATCTATTCTGGGGGCCCACAGTTCACCGGTTGCTTTTCACCAGGCCTCCCCATGCGCAGCACACACCATATGCGGCGCAAAGCGCATGCGCATGAGTGCGCGCGCACGTGGTGCGGCGCACCCCCCAAATATAGGGGTCGTCCAAATTTTTTTGGGGGAGCGCCCCTGGTGTCTTTCCCTTAAGGGGAAAAAAACAGAAAAGAGAATGAGAACGTTCGTCAGGGCGAGTTATGCAACATAGGGCCTCACCACACTACTCCTGACTTGGCCATTTTCGGGAGTGCAGCGTCGTCACACCAGCTCCCGAGTTCAACCTGTCAGATTGAATTCCGGAGCTGTCAGAATGTGGCTCCCAAGAGCACTCCCAAAATCGCTTGAGCCTCCCTTCTGTAAAAGGCCATTTTCAGGAGACCTCTCGCAGAGGTCTGTGTTTCGACCGGAGAACTCGTGCGCAGACAAGCATTCTCCTCACAGTTTTAGTCGCCACATCCTGGACAGTGCTGGACAGTCTCTGTCTGAAGTGCACCTCCTGGCCTCCAAATCAGAGAGTGGCCCAAGTCGGGAGTGCAACATGGCGAAGTGCACTCCCGAATGGATTTTCGCATCTTCTGACATTCGGGAGTACTCCCGAATATTTTCTCCAAGTTGGGAGTAGTGTCGCGAGGCCCATAAGCAGCAGCTTAGATCAGAACGTGGAAAAGTACACCCTTCATATTGCTGCCGTTTCCGTGTAGTCAGCAGGAAGAGCGTCTGTTGTGGGGATATTACAACAGAATCGCGACAAGGGCGGGTTGTTTTGAAGTGCCTCTGCCTGAATCTGCCAAATCCGCGGTGACGGCCTCGCTCCATCACTCACCAAACATGTAAAATGAATCTTAGGTGGGAACATGGATAGATACACTGCCATTACTTCTGTCTGTGGGTCTTGGAATCTGTGGTCAGTACAACGGGTCTCGCTCCACTACACATGCCCGTTATAGGGCCTTGCTCCACTACTCACCGCATTCACAAAACACCAAAAATATGGCGGTGTTACACCGAGGTATCTCTCCATATTCTGATAGAAGATTCATTCTCATTTTGCAGGTATGGTGATTAGCGGAGCGAGGCCCATAGCCTCACCTTATGACTTCTGTACTCTTTTACGGACGGAATTGCTGTCATATACATCAAGGTCGTCGCCCTTACACAAAAGAGACAGAAAAAAAGATGTGGAAACAACTGGCAGATCAGGCTGAGCAAAACCCCCTGCATCAAGATTGTTGATACGGGCAGTTGGATACGGAACTTGGCGCGTGGAATTTGAATTACCGTATCAAATTGAAACAGAGGGGGGAAAAAAACTTCAAAAAAGGATCGTCTGAGATGGAACCAAGGCTTGAAACCAGCAACTTTCATCAACCTTGAACTGTGCATTTACAAAATGTTTTTTTTTTTTTTTTTCGTTCTCCCAATCACATCATCCTCTTGGTTTAAAGGGACAAGGTACAGAATGCTATCCCCTTTGACAGTGGCTGACCACTGGTTCAGGCAACGTTCGCTAGTGTGCCCCAATTTGGTCACTATTGTGCAAGGAAAATGAGCAGTAGCGAGATGAAAATATCCAGAATACACAATCACATTGAAAGCCAGAAAGTATCACAGTGGCCAGAAAGTATCACAGTGGCCAGAAAGCAGCATTGCACCAATACGACAGCAATGGAGAATCGTAACACTGAAAACCAATGTCAATGAGAGCTTGCTCTCTCGCCACCACCAACACAAGAGTCCAGGACCTTCTCCCTACTTGGCGCTCGGCGCCCAGCCTTTTTTTTTTTTTTTTTTTTTTAACACGCCCCCACCAGTGTTAGNGGTGCTGATAAGAGCAGACACCACTAGCACCTGGGGAGAGGCTCCATCTATTGGTGGGGAGCATCACCTGCTGGAAAACGGGCCCAGCGTTCCATATACAGATTGAATTTGAAGTATGTCAGAAAAAAGCCACTGTGAGAGAGTCCTGCCAGCATTGATTACCCTGGCATCCAGGGGATTGACTGAGCAGGAAGTCGGGAAGGGGGAAACCTCTTCCCCTTGGAACCGGCACCAGATACCTACTGCTACACACTAGTTCCTCCCTCCCCCCACCAGCCCCAATCCGAACTGTCAATTCCCCTTTTCTGGGTCTGAAATACTGTGCTGACTGCTATCTGTCCGGGATATTATCACTAAGATAGACCTTTCCTCTGGCCACTCTCCTTGAGTTCATCCATCCTTCCCATACCACTGCATTTCTACGAGACAGTTTGAAGGCGGGGGGGGGGGAGAAGTCTGGGAATCCTCCCGGGGGTTTTAGAGAGATAGCTGTATCAATTTTGGTCCATTCATGAAATATCAGTCGGTAATCTCTTACTATCTCCAATCTCCCTTGGTCCTCCCTTGATTCCTGATGTTCCCCTTTCCATTCTACATTCCCTATCCTCCCCCCGCTGGGTCCCCCAAGCCAGCTTGAGCTGAATTCCTGAATTTTTTGTTGGATGTCTTTTTGTCTGGCAAGGAGTCTGATCTGTGTTTTGACCCCATCCCATTTTGCGGTTGTTTCTGTTTGGATCTGCTGTTGTATGTTTTCCGTGAATTCGGGTACTAGTCTGGCTCCCTCCATTTCAAAACTACAGTGTCGTCTCTAAAGTGCCCACAGCACCGCCCTTCGTCCCACTCTGAACATGCTTTCAGTGAATTCGCTGAGTTGGTCTGGCTGGCCCTTGGGCCAGGCTTAACACAATAATGCCTTCCAGTCCCAGGGCCATGGGGCTTTTGTTCCTAGTTGCTCCCAAATTCTGTCCCGCCATCTCCACAGCCAGAGAGTGCACCTGGGCATTGAAGAAATATGTGGTCAATGGTTTCCGGGCGTTTTCAAGAAGGGAACGCGTTTATACACAGCTTGCACCAGGGGAGAGCATGCCCTCTCTGCTCCAGGGATGTTCTGTTTATCAGCCAATTATTGGTCGGTTGACAGCGGTGTTCAAGTTGCCATTGAAGTGAGGCGATTTTGGCCGGTTTTGCCTTGGCCATCCTAAACCACTTCATAGGTTTTAGATCCTCTTTAATGACATTTAAGTGGTTCCTCCAACATTCCTCTACCTGGTCTCGAAGGTTTGTTGTTGGTCTTAGCAGTTTGTAAGTTCACTTAACTGTTACACCATATAAGGATTTAATGCATTTCTTGCCCTTCCCCATTTAGGTTGTCCATGTCTATTCCAAGGGGTCCATGGCTAGATGATGGATAGAGGAGCTGGGCAGGTAGGCTATCCATTGCTCTTTTTCCTTGAGTACTCTAATTTTGAACAACTCTTCTTTTTTCGGGTTGCTCTTTTGGATTATGTTGTCCCGTCCTACTTGGAAGAGGCTTACTATTACTGTTCCTTCAGGGATGCAGCAGACCACACTGCCCACATCTTCTTGACGCCCCCGAAATGCCACCCAGTCTGATTCTTGTAGGGTGGGGCCTTTGCAAAGGGTTCTCCACCAGGCTAGGGGGACCTTTTCCACTATTGCCTCCAAAGCTTCATGTGGCCGGTGGCAGTACCTCAGTCTCTCTCATAGCTGGTTAGGACCTATCCAGTCCTTCTTCTCTATGTCCCATATGTCTATCACCCTTGTTATCCCTCGTTTGATCCAGCCCTGCCAGGAAGAGTCCATGCAATGGAGAGTCTGTCCTCTCGAGTCTACCACCCAGTTGTTGCCAAAGCGGGGTTGGTGCGCTACCAACAGAAAAATTCCCACGAGAAATGAAAGTTGAAAAAACATTCCATTAAAAAAAATTCCTTCGTATTTATAAATTATCATTCCAATGTTTGTCCAATTCTCAAATTTTCAGTTTTATTTGATAAGATCCCGTCTAAATATGAGTTTTCCCTTCCAACTACATCTATTTGTTCAAGATGGAATGAAAGTGTGGATGAGTTTATGAAATGTTTTAATTAAACTTTCATTCTACTACAAGAAATATCTTCTAATTTAGATTGGATTAACCTATTTATGACTGAAAATCCTTACTTAGAATAACAGTCCAATTAAAATATTTCATAAACTCGTCCACACTTTCATTTCATCTCTAACATGCAGTTCAAATAAGAAGGGATACCCCATTCTTGGAATGAAAGTTTTCAAGTAAGACGAAAAATTTTAAAATTGAAATGACATTTTTTAAGATGGAATAAAAATTTAAAATTTAGAATGTAATTTCACTATAGAATGATTATTTAATTCTGGGAATTTTTTCTGTTGACCTCTTCTCATCTGTCTGGTAGGGTTTTGTCCGATAGGGGGAGGCTTCTTCATGTTTGAGGAGAGAAGGCCAGAAGGGATCCTTTCGTAGGTCAGCCCTTGCTGCTTGTCTGGGGGTAACGAGGTAAGGGTCCCGTTCTTGGGATGGGTCATTCCCTATTCTCCAACCACATCCACGGGTCACTCCCTTCTGGTGTTTGAGGTGCTAGTCGGGATATTTGTTCTAGGGCTAGCCCTTTTGAGAGGGTCTCGAGATTGAAAAGCAGGCGTTTGATCTATATTGTATCGCCAGCGCTTTGGTCTGAGTTAATGGGTCGATGATGCCTAGACCTCCT